TGAGGTTTTCTACCAGTATATGTAAACTGGCATGAATTTGTAATAAACTTTTGTTTTGTTGCTGTTATTTTTACTCCCAGGTTCCAGAAATGAAAAGTTAACTTCACTTTCAATTCAAGATGGCCAACACATGAATGCAGTCCAATGACAAATCCTGCCTTGACTCTGATAAGGAGCAAAATCAGGGTAAAAAGGCCTTTTCCAAACACAGGTTACGGGGGGGGCATAGTGAGAATGGCTGCCGATGAGCGACTTCCATTTGTAAAAAAGGGGTGTATGTAATAGTAAAATGAAACAAATCCTGTCCACAGTTATATCCCCACATTGTACGATATCTACATGGATTACATATACATGTATTTTTCTTTCATGTGAAAATAAGCTCACGAATTGTCTATCTTTAGATGGTATCAGAAACAAAATCATATTTTCGTTTCGTAACTGTGTGTTCTGTCCTGCACATGCACGAGCCTGCAAGATGAATGTGCTTACAGTTTAGTCGCCTCTCTTGTGACACCCCTAAAATCCATGAACAAAAAGGATCTTTTTCGTAAAAATGCTTCTTCACATTTCATTTTTATTTCTTAGATACGTCACCAAAGGGTTGGTCTTTTGTCTGCAGAAATTTGAAGGAAATCCCTTGGTTGGACATGACTGTTTTTTTGAGCAATTTTTTTGAACATGTTGAAAAAACGAAATTTGCATTGTAGTCATATGGTTTATCGTTCTCATGCACAGGATAACCTGACTGACCCTGGACTGCAGGGCCTGGTACGTAAAGGTTGCTGCGACAGCTGTGGCCGCGTCGCACCTGTAATATCGGGTCACACGCAGGGCCACACTGTCGTGGCCCGGGGACCTGTGCACGTTCGTCTTCACATATGTGTAGCAAATAAGATACACCATAACGTTGGTGGCATTAACCCATCCTCCCCCCCTGTGTCCCACACACACAGTGCCAGTTGATACAATAAGGGAGCTTGTGGCTTGGTGGCTAGGCCTAGGGTTTGTACATGTACATGTTATTCCCAAACTTATGGTCAGGGGTTCGAATCCAGCAGCTGTGTTGTGACCTTGAGCTCTTTGTCACTTTAATACTCGTACTTACCATATCTCTACAGTACAATGTATCTCTCTCTGCTTAGGAGTGTAAATGGTACCAGTGAGGACAAAGATGGTTGCCATGTTTAACTACCATGACTACTGAAATGACAGCATGGAGACCTCTGTCTTCTGGGTAGCTGAGATTACTTTAGGAATGCTTATAGGTCCAATGAACAGTGATAATAACGATGGACATGAAGTGCCTTGACCACCAGTAGAAGTACATGTACATGTACATTAGCCTTCATTACCCATTGTTATTAATGCACAGAAATTGCTGCGCCCAAATTTCATAGATTTCAATGCAAATTTACTTCGAATGTAGATTCACACGCTAAATATAAGCCACTGCAGTAATATTTCACATTTTGAAAAATTAGCAGCTAGTTTCCTGTGTAATGCAGAATTTATCAGGTTCGAAACGGTGCTGATTTGTTGAAGGAGTCAGAAGAGGAAATGAAGAATTGATGAATTTCTCATGACAGATTTCTGTGGGTTGTCCATTTATCATCACTGTATTTGTAAGTGTTACCCCTAAATTGAACAAGACAGATACATGAAGAAATCTCATTACACAGTGTCTTTAATACTGGACTTGCATGTAAATGCACGGGAAAAAAGAGGAGGATTAGAAAAAGAAGGCGAGAAAAGAAATGCAGAGAAACAGTTTGCATTCACAACACCTGCTTCTGTGGTCCAGTGTCCCCGGCCTGCCATGTGCGTACGTTTGCGTCAATATTTATCGACGAGCAGGCGGGGGAATCGGCTCATGCCCCCGACCCGCTGAGGCGCGGACCTGCTGGAGTCGGTCCACAAAGCCGCTGGATTGGTGGCAGATGAGACCAGCTGCAGTTTTTTTTGGGGGGGGGGTGGACTTGTGAAAGGTGAAGCTCAGAGGGAAGGGGCAAGCTGTTTTATTGTGGTCTCATGGATGAGGCGGGGAGGTAGGGAAGAGAGACCTCTGAGGATGTAGGATGTGCATCGTCATTGAGTTTGCCCTTCTTGAATGAAGTTGTAGTATTCCTTGCATTGAATCCTCTTTTCTTTTTCCTTAAATTTGGCAAAAACGAAGGGGAAATATGTTATTGAAACAAAACTGCTATTCACTTCCTGCTGTAGATAAGGTTGTCCTTTTTTTCCTTTCGTCTGTTTTGTGGGGAGGGTCTATTATCCTATTTGCACCTGAATGACTCATGCGGTCCTCAAGATGTACATGTAAGAGTTCACTGCTGTGTTGTTTATTTTGTGATAATCATTATACATGTAATTGACTGTATCTACTGGTAGTTTTTTTTTTTAAATTCTGCCCTTAGTCAAGGGAAAAAATTAATGCTTAAAAAAATGCTGTGGCATATTCAGGTTTGGAGTTTGTGGAGATCTAGGAGAGAGCAGTTTCTTTTCATTTATAAAAAAATCTTCACCCGTCCCGATGGAAAGGCAGATGAGTACTGTTCCAAGTGTTTGCACTTTCAACTCTTTTAAAAAAAAACCTGTGTAATATTGCCGATGGTATACATGTACATGGGACTATGTAAGTGCCCTACCCGGTACCTTCACCATACTGGTAACGTTTCATAACTGCTTCCTTCACTTTTTTTCTCATGGATAACTTAGCCTTAAACATCCTAATTGGCTATGAGTTCACTGACTTACATCAACAAAGGTACCATACCGACTCATGGTTCATCACGTCATTCAATGAACATATGGTACACTTACATTGTATGAACACCAGTAATCATATGGTTAATGTCTCTTTGTAGTTGCCTCTTTGAAAAGGATCCAATGTGCCGTTGATCAGGCAAATCACACGCACAATACATGTATTTAAGGACTTCATCCTTTGTATGATTCCCGCAGTTGCTGCTGTCGTGTAGCATCAGATCATGCAATGAGCCACTGGGTCCCTGATGGCCAAGTAGCCATCAAGCTCCCGGAGTAGGATAATTTTAAAATGTGTCAATTTATTCATTGGCTACAAACTGCGTTGGCACATTGTTAACGCCACTTACATGTATTCCTTCGTGCATGGTCCCGGGGGGCCTGTTTTAAAAATTAAATGAAGAGGAGTGCCAATTGAAAGTAAATGATAAATCTAACCAGATGATTGGAGGGTTTTTTTTCTTTCAACCTCATCCCGACAGCTTTCGGTCAGATCTCAGTGTGGGAGACTCATCAAGCAACTTTTACGACGGACATCCTACAGACGGCACTATAATATCTTCGATCCTCACAATTATCATAACTGTTTCAAATCCAACCAAATTGTACACCCTGCTTTTTGGAGGGTACACGTATGGTCTTAACTGAGCACTCGCCTGGGTAAATTTTGCCGGACAAGGAGTGTGATATCCCAATTTATCCCAGGTGCTGGTACATACCGGTACATGCAGAATCCGTAATTGTTTCCTGTTGGATTTTTAGTATTATTTCGAGGAAATGGAGGGGGGGGGAAGGGAGAGAATAGAAGGAAAGAAGGAATGAACGTAGAGGGAAGCATTCTCCACGACAAGCCTGATAATGCAGCATGTACAGCTGCTGAGCAAAGGTTAATTTTGTGTACTGTACGGCAGTGTTGTACAATCCCCTAGACTCTCATAGCAATCACATCAGATACAACACTCTTGCTAGTGCACATGCACATGTACATGCACATGTACACGCACATGCACATCTACAGGCACATGTACAGGCACATGTACATATGTGTGCATGTACATGTATCTGCAATAGCTCAGAGAGGATGTTATTAACGATTGGTTTGTAAAACAGTGTTGCTCGCTCATCCGTGAGTGCAGAGATGCAAGTCGGGTGTCAGTGGAAGGTTGTTTTATGAGTATCCTTTCTGATGAGTGAAATGGCTTCATAACTTCAATGTACCGATCCATTATACCGGTACATAAATGT